ATATATATATATATATATATATATATATATATATATATATATATTTAATCTTTTTTTAAATTTAAATAAATTTTTTTATTTTCGTTAGTTTCGAGTAAAAGATATTTATTTTTCTACTAGATAAAAGCATTTATAGAAAAATATTGGCACGTATATTTTCTTCCTGTCTCAGCGAAAGGAAAGGCAGAACAGACACAATGATGAAAACGTAAATGTAAGAGAAGCAATATCACGTCAATATTACGTTTAGCCTGAGATTGAGAGTTCACTAGAAAGATCAAGCTATTCAACAATCTCGTTAACTAGATCAGATATGTTAAACAGCATCGACTCGCTGTTCATTATCTCAACGCAACGTAAAAAAGTAGCGAAATAGCCGCGTGTCTTTGCATCAAATGGACAAACATGTGTCGAATCCACGGTCCATTTGGTCCAATTCGCCGTAATTCGTTCAACCTACATTCGCGCCTACATTTTATGCAACCGTCGTTTACCTATCGTTTTCGCTATCAACGCGCAATTAAGAATCATCTCATATCGCTCTGACACGTTGACCAAACACACGGCGAATTAACAAATAATACCGTCGACCAACGGTGCAAAATGAAACCGCGATCAGCCTCTCACCGCAAACAGAGCAGTGTTTGGACCTTCGTCAGGAATGGATCGTCGTTAACAAGATTTCACGTGCCATCGCGTTGGATCTTTCCAACGGTGAGGCTCGATCGCGCGAATATTCGAAAAATCTGCGCGAGAGCAGAGACTCTGCCATCGGCGCAGAGTTATCGCTGTCTACTTATAATCGACCGATCGACAGCGACAGAGAAGAGGCTCTTCTCTCTCTCTCTCTCTCTCTCTCTCTCTCTTTCGTGGCGTGTCTCGTTAATTGCACAGCTCGTTTACTCGGGACACGTCGCGTCACGATGCGAGTGAAAAAACGAGCGTCGCGGCGGATACGCACTTTTTATCACCGCGGTGATGTCCTGAGTGACGTGTGGCGGGAACTGTCCCAGAAGATCGAGCACCGTGTTCTGCCGCGAGTCCCGGATGCCCAGGTCGACACCCCGGTCCAGCAACGCTCGCACCACTTCCATCTTGCCGCACAGCGCCGCCTCGTGCATCGCCGTCCCCGCCGACGTCCTCGTGTTCACGTCCACGCCTGCAGCCAGCAACACCTCCACCACCGCTCTGAAATTCCCATTTAAGTTCTTCCGTTACTTTTCTTTAGCTCGCGATTTGCTAGGTCGGTAGATTTGATTTCCGTTTTCCTTGAACGACAGGAAAAATGGCCGAAAATCAAGTCTTCAAACCGGGTCTTCTCGTCAAGACTAAATTTGGCGATTTGAAACGTCGTGTCTTGACGTTTTTTTTTTTTACTACGTGCAGGGACAAGGTACGGATTTTGTATTTTTCTTCAGAGGGAGGAATATTCAACTCGCGTATCTTTCTTCCGACTGGCTTTGTCATGATCTATTTGCTTTCTGCAAAACCTGTAAATCGATCCATTATATAATGGATAACAAATAATCTATAAATAACGATGATATATAAATGATTTATAAATAATTCCTCGAGGAATTTCGTCGACCTCATTTTCCATCGATCAATCGATCAGTTCGATCGTGATCTATTTCCTTTCACGAACTTGTATTAACGATTTATTATTTATTACCCATAAATGTATAAATAATCTATAAATGACGATGATCTATGAACAACCTACAAGTGATCTACAAATAATTTCTCGAGGAATTTCGTCGACCTCATTTTCCATCGATCAATCGATCAGTTTGATCGTGATCTATTATATATATTATAAATCCATAAATAATGGTGGTCTATGAATAATCTATATGAACGATGTACAAATAATTTCTCGAGAAATTTCATCGACATTATCTTCCATCGATCAATCGATTGGTTCGCGAACCCGTGTAAACAGATCAATCTATTATCTACAATAATGATAAATATCTACAAACAGTCTAGAAATAATGATGATCTATAAACGATGTACAAATCATTTCTCGAGGAATTTCATCGACCTGATCTTCCATCGATCGCACGTCACGTCTGTCGACGATACGACGAGTCTCTCGGGCGGAACTTTCACCAAAATTAACGAACCAAATCAGCGGAATCCGTCCTGGAGTTCCCGTTTCGCCGCACGTACGTCGTCGTCGGATGTGGAAGTGGCTGGGAACCTGCGATCGAGGAACGGAGTGGAGTCGAAGAGAGGATCACCGACGCGTCAGCTGAAAGTGGCCCGCGTTTGTACGCGTTTCAACCGACAGCAGCAGCAAGCGTGCACCACAAAACCCAGATTTCGTTTTGTGCCTGTTCGGCTGATGTGCACCGACTGCAGTGACCGCAGCCATCCGTCGCATATAGGATTCGTGGCTGGGAATCGGATTCACGTGCACCTATGTTGTTATTACCGTGCCATAGGGGTATTTGTATACTGGCTTACCAAGAGCACCGATATTGAATCCGATAATAGACATTACTCCCGGCTCTCCCTCCCCCCACCCCACCCCACCCCCCGCCTCACAACCCGGAATCCCTTCCCTCTCGTCCCTTGCACACAACCAAAACCTCTGGCTGCCTGTTTCTCTTTCTCTTGCCTACGCTTACGTGTACAAGTGGATGGATGCGTTGCTGCTGCGTCCTCTCGCTTTCCGTCCCACTCCGGCGACTCTGTCTATCACCGCCCACGCAGATCCAACAGATATCCGCCAAATATCGCGGCGAGGGGCGCGTGAAACGCGTGCGTGAACGCAATCATCGCAGTGTGCACTCAGGGTACACAGACAGACAGAGAGCCGCGAGTCTCGGCTACACGTTTCGACACGGTGTACATTTTCGACGTGCCTGCGTACACACTACGCCGAAAACGAGCGTACACGATCGAGTTTCGCACACCAGTTTCGCGGATACCGTAGTTTCGCGCCTGTCCAAACAGTCAAAATGCCCGTACACACACACACACACATACTGTCACACGCGCTGTTTGACCGTTGAGATTGTCCGCCGGAGACCGGGCAGATTTTCCAATCTAATCAGCGCGAGTGGGATCCGATCGAATCGCGTGAAACTTTATTCGTCAGGATGATGGCGCGGTGGCCGAAGAGTTGATTCTTCGGGAAATTCGTCCCGGCGAACGAATGTATTTGGTATTTTTGTTTGTTGAAAGTCTTTTTTC